GCCCCCAGGCCCCGACCCCTGCGACTACGAGGGCCGCTTCTCCCGGCTGCACGGCCGCTCCCCGGGCTTCTTGCACTGCGCCTCCTTCGGGGACCCCCACGTGCGCAGCTTCCACCACCACTTTCACACGTGCCGCGTCCAAGGAGCTTGGCCCCTGCTGGATAACGACTTCCTTTTTGTCCAGGCCACCAGCTCCCCCGTGGCCTCGGGGGCCAACGCCACCACCACCCGCAAGGTCAGGGGCTCGGTTCTCCTCCTGACCCTCCGACCAGACCCCGGCTCGGTCGCCCCCGGAGACCACTCCCTGCCACCCCTTCCCTTTCTTCCGGAACCACGCCAGGCCGGGCGGAGTAGCCTTCACTTCCTCCTAACCATCACCGTAAAGCGGGTTCCCTTGATGCGAATTTCACGCAGGTGCAGAAAACACTGAAGCGAACGCTGGGACTAGGAGAGCTAGGCGGTTCGCAAGGGGTGCTCTTCCTTCCTTCTCTTTGGGAGTTGCTGAGGTTGAGTCCAAAAAATAGAGAGAGGGAGAGCGTAGGAGGAGGCATTGCGGGGACTGGGACAGAACAGGAGAGGGGTGCAGGGACCTGGGCGGGAAGAAACCCTGAGTCTGATCCCTGGCTGCTATGGGGCTGCCTGGGGCAGGAAGCCTCGGGCCCAGAACTGCCTTCCCTCTTGTCCTCACAGGTGACCGTCATATTTAAGAACATGCAGGAATGCATCGATCAGAAGGTCTACCAGGCAGAGGTGGACAATCTCCCCGTGGCCTTTCAGGACGGTTCTGTCAATGGAGGTGACCGGCCCGGGGGCTCAAGTTTGTCCATTCGAACTGCTAACCCTGGGAGTCACGTGGAGATCCGAGCTGCCTATATTGGCACGACTATAGTCATCCGGCAGACGGCCGGGCAGCTCTCCTTCTCCATCAGAGTAGCGGAAGACGTGGCCAGGGCCTTCTCAGCTGAGCAGGACCTGCAGCTCTGCGTTGGGGGCTGTCCCCCGAGTCAGCGACTGTCTCGCTCGGACCGCAATCGCAGGGGAGCTATCACCCTAGACACTGCCAGACAGCTGTGCAAGGAAGGGCTTCCGGTGGAAGACGCTTACTTCCAGTCCTGTGTCTTTGACGTTTCAACCTCTGGTGACCCCAACTTCACTGCGGCGGCTCAGGCAGCGCTGGAGGATGCCCGAGCGTTCCTGCCGGACTTAGAGAAGCTGCACCTCTTCCCCTCAGATGCAGGGGCCTCTCTCTCCCCTCTCTTCCCAGGCCCAGTTCTTTCAGGGCTGTTTGTTCTGTGGCTTTGCATTCAGTAAGTAGGTCAGCAATCTCCTGACTAATTTGGAAATGATTTGGGGACAAAGGTTGGCATGGAGGAATACAAAGAGCTGCTAAGAAAACAGTGGTGACCAGGAGATAAGTGAACCAAATGACACTTACCCAGAGTCAGACGAGATGGCATCCAGGGTTGAAACGATCACAGAATAAGGATTCTGGGCAAGGCTTTTGCATTCCAGACTCGAGGGGCTTTTCACCAATTGTCTTGGCCCTACTTATAGGAAGCCCATTGTTCCAATTGTCTATTCCTGAGCTGGTTCAACAAGTTTGGGCTTATGGGTGCCCTGATGATCAGTAAAGAATTTAAGCTTTGGGCTGGGGATTTAGCTCAGTGCTGCTGCTGCCTGCCTTGCAAGCGCAGGGTCCTGAGTTCAATCCCTGGTACCCAAAACAAAACAAAACAAACTTAAGCATTGATACTTTTAAAAGGCAAGAACTAAAAGAGAAAGACATGACCATTACCCATGAAAAACTCAAAAGAGGCAAAAAGAGTTAGAGAAAAAAGTCTATTTGATGAGTAAGGTATATTTGGCTTTCTTGGTTCAGATATGAAGAGGGCATTGTTTGGGTCTTAGGTGAAGGGAACTGTCTTTTGGAGAATGACACAGATAGGACAGAAGCTATTATCCCCACTCCTAACCAATCTCTTATTAAAGCTATGAATTCTCCCCACTGTCCTCTGCTGCCTGTTGAATCTCTCTATAGATGTGTTCCGTGGGACAATGGTAATGTGCTCACCTCACTGAAAGAAGGCTCAGCTGTCACCAGCTCTTCTTTCTGTCCTCAGGGGGTTTATAGGCTACTAGAGAAACAAAATGCTTCACACGAAGGAGTTGAGTGTGTGATTTATTAAATTCTATGGTAAACTAGGTGTGGTGCTGCTTGCCTATAATCCAAGCACACTGGGAGGCTGAGGCAGGAGGATCACAAGTTTAAACCCACCACGAGTGATTTAGTGAGATTCTGTCTCAGAATTTTAAAAAAATATATTTTGTTGTTTTTTTGGAAACAGTCTTGCTTTTTAGTGCAGACTGGCCTTGAACTCACTATGTAGCCCAGGCCTCGAACTTGCTGCACTCTTCCTACCTTGACCTCCTCTGAGTGCTGGGATGACAAGCATGCACCATATATCTGGCCAAAAAAAAAAAAAAAAAAAAAAATTTTAAAGGCCTGGAGATGTAGCTCAGTGTAATGACCTTGGGTTCTATCCCAGCCAGTACTAGAAAAACAATTATATGTTATAAACATGTGTGCACTCGTATTGCTGTGGTATGATGCTTTTAATTCTTTTGGAAAGATACCCAGAAGAGGAGTAGCTTGGTCAAATGGGACCTCTAATTCTAGTCTTTTGAGGAATCTCTACACTGATTTCCACAGTGGTTTCTCCAGTCTGCACTCCTACCAACAGTGGAGAAGCTTTCCTTTTCCCCCACAGCCTCTCCAGCAGCCCCTCCAGCATTTGTTGTTAGAAATAGATTAGAAGATACAGAAACAACCCCATACAACCCCAAAGACAGCCATCTTATCTTTGTTTTTTGTTTTTGTTTTGGTACCAGGCATTGGGATCGAACTCAGGACCTTGCACTTGTAGCTCGAGAGGCAGGGAGGCAGGCTGCAGCACCACTGAGCTAAATCCCTGGCCCCAGCCACCCTACCTTTGACAAAGGGGCCAAACACTTCACTGGAAGGAAGATGGCTTATTTAATAAGTGGTGTTGGGAAAACTGGCCTCCCACATGCCAAAGACTAAAACTAGACCCATATTTCTCATCATGCACTAAACTAAAATCAAAATGGACCAAAGATCAAAATATTAAAGCAGAAACACTAATTCTGCTGGAAGAGAGAGTAGGAAGAACATTTGAGGACATAGGAGTAGGCAAAGACTTCATAAACAAAACCCAGACTGCATGGGAAATACTACAAAGAATCAACAACTGGGACCTCATCCTATTAAAAAGCTTCAGCACTGCGAAAGAAATCACCAACGGAGTGAAGAGACAACCCATGGAACGGGAAGAAACAATTTTAGCCAGTAGTCCCTCAGACAAAGGGCTAAAACATACCAAGATCTAACCATATATCTATTATTATCTCCCCACCTCCTCATGCCCGTCTTTCTGACAACCCTTCCCGAACATGGGTAGCCGCACTAGCCAGGGTGTGTGAAACAGGGCATCCCAGCTGCCATTTCAGACTTCTGCAATTCTTCCTCTGTTTCCCCTCCTCCCCACCTCCTCTGAGGACCACAGAAGTCTGCCATTTTCTTAAAGCACAGAAGGGTATTGGGTACTACACTCAGGACTATACCTAAACTTAGGGATAATAGAGCCTTTTCTTTTGTTTTGTTTTCTTGCACTAAGAATTGAACCCAAGGCCTCTGACATGCTAGGCAAGTACCCTATCCCTGAGCTGCATCTTCAGTGAGCTTCTCCCCTCTTCCTTTTTTTTTAGTTTTCTTCCAGTACTGGGAATTGAACCCAGGAAATGCTGAACTATATTCCCAGCAGTTTTTTTCTGAGACAGGGTCTCACTAAATTGTTGAGGCTGGGCTCAAACTTGTGATCTGATCCTCCTGCATCAGCTTCTTGAGGAGCTACTGTTCCTGGGCCACTGTGCCTGATGAACACAGGCATTTTAATGCAAACATTTTTTTTAAAGGCACAGCTCCTTGTATTGGAGCTCTTAATTCAAGAGTAACTTTACCTTACAAATGTGGGAATTAAGAAGAACAGCTCAGCCAACTGGTGAGTGATGCTCATTTCCTGTCATGTCACACTCTTCCTTTGCTGAGCCTAGTTAGCCCTATTACCAGTGGAGTATTTTAAAAAGGGTAGCTCATATCTGGGCATGGTAACATACACCTGTAATCCCAGCACTGTGGGAATTGAGAGGCAGGAGGATTGCAAATTTGAGACCAGTGTAAGCAGCTCTGAGGCTTAGGGAGACCCTGTCTCAAAATTTTTTTAAAAAAAGTTTTTTTTGGTCTTTGTTTTTGTTTAAAGAGCTGGGGATGTAGTTCAGGGAAGAGGCTTTGAGTTCATATTTTAAAAGAACTCAAAATAAATTCATGAAAAGATACTCAAGATCATCAGTCATTGGCTGAGCATGGGAGGCTGAGGCAGGAGGGTTGCCATGAGTTCAAGGCCAGCCTGAACTACACAGTGAGTTCAAGACCAGACTGAACTCCATAGTGAGACCTTGTCTCAAAACAACAACAACAACAAAACAAAACAACAAAAGATCATCATTTACTGGGGGGGAAATCCACGTTGAATTAAAACCATAGTGAGACAACACTGAAAACTCAAAAATTAAAATGATTGGCAATACCAAATGTTGGTGAGAATGTAAAATAGTACAATCACTGTGTGAAACCATTTGGCAGGTTATTTTTTTAAGTAAATATACATTTAATATATAATCTAGATATTCCAGTCCTAGGCAGTGACTCAAAAATAACATATGTACACAAAACTTGCACATGAATGTTCATGCAAGTTTTAACTGTAATACACAAACATATACTAATAAAAAGGGAAAAATAAAAATAAAGCTATGAGGACAACATGGAATATAAGAAAAAGCTTTATCTGTAATAATCGAAAACTGGAAACAACCCAATATCCATCAACAGGTGAAGAATACACCAATTGTAGCAGAAAAGAGAATATTACTTAGCCATCAAAGACTGAATACATACAACATGAATGAATCCCAAAGTAATAATGCAAGTTGAAAGAAACCATATAATTGTCTGTTTTCTATTACTGTAATTAAATACCTGAGACTGCATAACTTTTTAAAGAGAAAAGGTTTAGCATAACTTCATTAAGAAAAGAGGTTTATTTGAGTCCTGGAGGCTTACGGGCATGGTACCAGCATGGCTGGAGCACAGTGCAGGAGTGAGGATTACATAGAAAGACAGGAAGCCAGAGACACATCCCGGGTTGGGCTTTCTCCTGGGATAACTCGCTCTGGTGCGAAGTAACTCAGGGTCCCATGAAAATAACCCTTCTGAGGGAGGTGCCCCCCATGGCCTTCGTACCTCCCACTAGGCCCCACTCTGAAAAGGTCTGTCACCCAGCATTGCCCCAGTAAGAACCAAGCCTCTGACATACGAACTCTGTCTCTAAAAAGTTTTTACTAGTAGATGTTTGCAGTGTAGAATGTTTACTTTCATCTTGGGGGCTGGGCACGTGTACTGAGCTCACCGTAATTCGTTTTTATTCCCCTTTCTTCGCCCTGTCCCTGTTCTCTAGGTCACTTCACATTCACGAACTACCCTCTCCCAGGTAACACACGAACTCCTGGGCACAAACCACATCCAAACCCAGCAAAGCCGAACCAAACCAAAACCAAAACAGCCTCTTTGTTACCATTTATATGTATCACAGAAAATGTGAACTGTCAGTGAAAGAAAGGATGCTTGGGATTGCGGGGGTAAGGGGAAGCTTTCCAGACTGATAGGCCGGCTCCTTATCTCCATCCTGGCAGTCCCCTCAACTAGTGTAATTATACCCTTAAAATACATGCAATTTATCATCTGTTAGGTGCACTGAAATAAAGCTGAGCATTTCTTTTCATGGATAGGCAAGCCAGCATGGCAGCTCACGCCTGTAATCCCAGCACTCGGGAGGCTGAGGCGGGAGTACAAGGCCAGCCTGGCCTACATAGTGAGACCCTGCCTTAAAAAAGGAAAATGAAAACCAAACCAACCAACCAACCAAACAGCAACAACCCCCCCAAAGAAAACAAAAAGATAGAGAGAAAAAGAAAAAGGTACAGCGTCCAGGAGCAGTGGTGAAGACTCTAATCCCAGCTATTTGGGAGGATTAGGCAGAAGTATCTCAAATTCAAGGCCAGCCTGGATGATTTAGTGAGATTCTCAAAAAAAAATAAAAAAAAAAAAAAAGCTGAGGATGTAACTCAGTGTGACTTTTTGGTACAGCAAAATCTATCATCTATCTATCTATCTATCTATCTATCTATCTATCTATCTATGTATCTATCTATCATCTTTTAAAATGGGAAGCCTACCTTTCTCTCTTCTTTCGGTGGTCAGACAAAAGGCTTAGGAAAGAAAGACTGAAGAAAAATGAGATGACAAGGCGAAGGAAAAAGATAGTCAGTTATTTTATACTGCCTTCTCTATGACAAGGTCCATATTCCTTTTCTCCATAATGTCAATTCGCAAGGTCAGAGACCTTGAAAATGATGGGTATTTTCCAATTTAAAACCTGACACTAATTCATAATTCTGACGTCCCGCTTCATCGTAGTCAGCAGGGGGCGCTGGTGACTAAAAAGTCACTTAGAGACACGGCCAAGTCTCCTGGAATCAGCAAATTAATTTCTTCAGGTTATCTGATAGGTTGACCATTTG